CTTAACAAATTTATTCTAAATATAAGCACATATTATTTTAAATAGATTTTGAAGTTTACTAGAAATATATTATGTTAATTTGGAAAGATTGTCATGACATCGAAGACAATATGAACTTCACTTAATTATGCAATCAATTCTTCATAATATGCAATTTTAATATTGTATAATAGCAATAATTTATTCCTTCGACAAAGGTGGGTGTCATAATAATTTTCCAGAACCGGAAGTTTAATTTCGAATCGAATATTTAATATAATAATATATTTGATTTCAATTGTAAATTTTTCTAGATAAATATTAAATTATGAAATAGTAATTTTTATCGTTTGTATTAACAAGGTCTAGTGAATAATAATATAAAATTTAATATAATTATTTTGATAATGTATTTTAGTTAAGTTGTTTCCAGGACACTTCAAATATTTTTAACAGTCTAGTTCTAGGTAACAACGCATTGAGACCCTAGAAGATAATTCCTGTATAAATAAGAGTGCTTTACACGAAGAGGATAATCACCAAAAACATGCTTCCACTTTTCTTTCCCTAGACATGCAACTGTATAAGATAGGTTGATCTAGTCTCAACTTACTCAGGTTTCCGGTTAGTTGGCAATATTCCATTAGGAGAACCATGGGAACTATTATCTTGTTCTTCCACATCACTTCCTTGAACCAGTGTTGGTTATAGTTATCCAGAAACTTCTTAGCTTGTCAAAGACTAGAAATATTTCTTCAAAATTCTGACAATTTCCTCATTAAGTAATTTTAATTTTTTTAGCTGTATTGCTTGAAACTTTTGTTCATATAACTTCAGAGTTGAATGGTCGATAAATGAAACGAGTGAGTAATAGCATGGTATCGAGAAATGGATAATTGAAGCCAGTAATTGGCATAAGAGTAACATATTAAAAACTATATCGTATTCAAAGAACTGGAAACGATATACTTAAGTGTATGCTTATTTGTAACCACAGAAAAATTAATTTTTGAAATTATTCTGCATTGGCATCAAATTCTCTAATGCAGTATTTTTGTTAATTTCGTTCTAGTTAAATTTATAAGCATTAAAATATTGAAACGACCATGCAATTAACATTAACAAAAATTTTTAATTATTGAATAATTTTGTTTAATTTTAATAGAATTACTGTCTACTCGTTAGAGAAACCCTTCCATCACATTATGTCCAATTGTGTCCTACTTATATTAATTTTCACATACTTCATTAAAAATCTAATTAAAATATAAAAAGAACAAAACTAAATTTTCTAATATCATTTGCAAATTCAGTTAACAAATTTAACCAAAACTTGTGCCTTCACAATAAATTTCTTAATCAATAATTTTTTATTATCATGAGAGACGTCAACTACAATGTAAAACTATTAATTAAAAACAAAAACGTTAAACGGTTAAGACTTAAATGAATTTTTTTTATGTCTTCTTCTTCTACTTCTTTTTGGAATTGTAAATACCTTGTTTTGAGAAAAAATACAATATTATTACATAAAATTTTTAATTTTTTTTCAAATAAATATTTAAAATGAATTTTTTTTTTCTAATTGAATTGCCACGCTTAATTGTAATCATTTTAATGACTGTGCGCATTTTAATGTTAATTTTTGTACTATAAAATTTATATAGGTATTACAAATATATAATATAATTCTTCTGAATTGTTATAAACCCTAACTGTATTACAAGTAAATATGTGATCGTGTAATAATATTGTACAATAACATTATTTTTCGTGTATCTCATCAGAAATACACAAAAAATTAAAAAGTAACACAGAAGAAGAAGGTACTTTTATTTTTCTGGTTAAGAATTTAAAATTTCCATTCATACTTACTGGTAATATGATTACATATGGTTAGGTAGTATTAGAAGAAGCTCTTAAAACACATGTTATGAAAGACCTTATAAGTGAATATACAATGAATTTTTACATGAAAACACAAATTGCATTTAAGCCCCAACAATGTTTTTCTCTCTTCTTTTCACAATTTTCTGGCATTTTTAGCCTGGAAAGTAATATAACTAAATCTTCCCATCTTCAATACAAAACTGAAATATTTAATTTTTATTTTTATTTGTAAGTGCATGTGTATGTATGTGTATATGGGTAAAATATTATACGTGTATGTGCTTAGACCCAAATTTGAATTGGTTACTCGCGCAAGATCACTAAATTAAATTCATATTAAAATATTACAAGAAATTACATCAAATTAAAATAATAAAAAAATAAAAAATATTCTCTAAGATTGATCATTATGCTGAAGTAAATTTAACTTTTACGAGTAACATATTTTTTTATTATTTCTCTTCTTTATGCCTTTACTGGTGATTATGTGCAACTGTTTGTGTGTGTGTATGTTAAAAAATTATACTATATTATTAGATTTATCATTTTTTTTTGTTTATAAAGTTTAAATATCTGGAAAAATTTATATAAAAATATTTAAATACCTTTTTTAATTTCGCGAAGCTTTTATAAGGCGTTATAAAATTTTTTCTGTGTGTATTCATTTGTACAGATAATGTTTGCAATTATTGTAGTGGCAACATTTTTATTCTTTGAATAAAATAAGTGAATTAAGATCAAAATAAAGATTTTTAAAGCAGTCCATCTCCAATTTTTTTAAATAAATTTTTATATAAGGCTTAATTATTGCATACTTATAGGATAATAATAAAATCAAAAGTAACATTTAATTAGGTAGTTAAAACATTATTTAAATTTATATTATTTTCTAATAGAAAAGGGTAGCAAGGGTACTTGCATAGTAAGGGTGAATTCTTTTCTATTAAGTTTCTGAAAATTTTTTAAATTTGACGAATTGTGATAACACGGCAGCAATGTAAGGTAGAATAAAATTATCTTAAAATTTGCTAATTATTTATTGATATTTCAAAGTTTACTTTAGATTTCGGAATTAAAAAAAAAAAAATGATAATACTTGTATATGGCATTTTAGTACCAATAAAGTTGGGTCAAACCAGTGGTTTGTATTGTAGCACTTTTCCCTTCAACAAGTGAAAATTCTGCTTTTAAATACAGTCTATGTATACCTATCACACTATTAAAATTATTTTCCTTCATATACAAAACTATTTCTAGGATTGCATATATTAAGGATGACCGATTTATGCAGTCTTTGAAATAAAGCAAAAATTAATATAAAGAGGGTTAACGTAATGCGAATTTAAGGGTCAATTGTGTGAGTTAAGAAAAATAATTATATTTTTTAATGTCATGGAATTTACCGTTAGCTTTTTGTGTTTATAGAAATTTGAAAAAGCTTGCGGTTTCGGAAATATAAGGTGTCAAAAATTCAAATTTTACAAATTTCAAGAGGCAATAACTTGAGCGGGGGTGGAGATGCAAAAAAATTTTCTTCTAACGAAATGAACTCTTTGTTAATGTCTAAAAGCCCCTAAAGCCAAGCTTGTACAGGCTGGGGTTTAGAAGAAAAACGAAATCAAAAATTTGGAATAAAAGGACTTTAGATAACGGTAAATTTGAACGGCCATTTTGTTTTTATAAAGTTTAACTATAGTATAAAAATTTTAAAAATGCTTATGGTTTCATTGAAACAAATAGTTAAAAAAGGTCATTTTTAGGGTTTTGGTGAGGGAGGGGGGGGGGGGGGGGGTGGGTAAAACTTCTAGAGGGGGAAAGAGAGGTAAAAATTTTGTTCAATGAAAATAGGTTTCTAGTAAAGATCTATGTACGTATAAAATTTCAGCTTTCTATCTTCAAGGCTGTAGAAGTTTTGTAAACAAACGCAAGGACGGATGGACGGACAGACAGAGTGAAACTAATAAGCACTTTTTTTCAAAAAATTTTTCGAAAAGTGCTAAAAACCATAAGAGCTATTTTAGGAGCCATACTCACTAGATTTAGTTTGTATAACAGTTTTCTTCTGGAAACATAAGTTTCTTAGGACGATCTAATATTTCAATACAAAATTTCGGCTTTCTATTATTAAAGAGTGTAAAAGCACAATAAAAAACTAATAAGCGGGAATTTTTCTTAATTTTATTGAATTTTGTTGAAAATATATTAAAAAATGATATTTCTCATAGTCTTTAACATTTCCAATAATCTTTTAATATTGAATATCAAAAGATTTAATTAACATTTTCTACAACAAACTTCGAGAAATTTATTTTGAAAATAATAAAAATTATTACTTATACATGTAGCTTAAAAAATTTTCAAAATTTATCCTATAATATTAGGAAACACTTTTAAATTTACTTTTAATTTTTGACTATGGAAAAACTTTATAAAAATCAAAAAAAAAAGAAAACAAAACAAAAAGTATTTATTCCTTTTTTATTTTTCATCTTCTTATATCTGTGTGTGTCTCTGTGTATGTGTGCCTCTAAATAACATGGTATGTGCATTACAGAAGATCAAATTCATTTTTCATTCGAATTACTTACATTAAATAAAATATTTAAAATAAAATGTATGTTTGTATGTATGTGCATTTGTATTTAAAATAAATAAATAATAAAAAGTTTAAAAAAGTGAAGATGAGAAGAACACAGATGAGAAGAAGAAAACTTTTTTTTTTACAATAATAATTGTAGTCTAGATAGAAAACGAAAAAAAACAACAACAATAATAAAAAAATCTAACGTTTAAGAAAAAAAAAAACAAAAAGTACCCATCCAATAAAACACAATGAGATGTGAGATGCAAGTATAAATCAAAAGTGTGTTTTTGTTATTTCGGTGCCATTTAGTAAAGTAACGATAGTAAAAAAAAAATAAGACAAAATTATAATGTAACAATTTTTTTTTTTATATATTTTGGGAAAGAATTAAGTTTGAAGATAAAAATAAAAAAGAAAAAGAAGAGAAAAAAAAGTAACAACAATTTTTACAAATAAAATTTAACTATAGTTGGGGGTATATAAGTAACAGAATTTTTTTAATAACCTGTACATTAAATCTAACATTATTCAATAGATCGGATGAAAAACGACTCTATATAATCTTCGAAAAATAATAAATTCGAAATTAAACTAATTTTATAATTAAAAAAACAATAAATTTCATTAAATTTAATTTTAAAATAAAAAATAAAATTTTTAATTTAAAAAATTGAATATTTTAATTAAAAAATTCATAAAAGAAAAGGATAACAAACGTTTACTCTAAAGAGAACCAAGTTCTTGGATTAACAATTTTTTTTTTTTGGGATTACATACACGCACACTAAGAGGACATTCAATTTTTTTTGTTCATTTTTGAAAAAAATAAAAATGAAAGCGGTGAGTATTAGAAAAATTAATATCCTAGTAATTGAAAATTCTTTTGCACTTAAAACTCAAATAGATTCTTAAAATTTCAAAATTTAAATTTTGTATCTAATTAGTGTTATACATATAAATTAAATTCAAAATAAATTTTTATATTGGCATGAACACAGAAATATGCTCTAAAGTACAAATTGTTTATAATTGGAATTGAAAGGAAGTTGTTAAAAACACAGTGGAATAAGTGTAAAAATGAAAAAAAGAAACAATTAAATGTTATATTAATTTTAAAAAACTGTTATACAAATGAAACTGTTATACAAGTAAAACTGTTATACACATAAAACTGTTATACAAATAAAACTGTTATATATATATGTATATACATTTGATACAAAATCTAGATAACTGCATTAATTAAGCTTGTGTTCCATTACTTTCCGAAAAAGTGAAAAAAATTCTGAAATCGTTTTCAATTTTCAATTTAATATCCTCAAAATCTCGCGCAAAATATAAATATCAAATTATAATCAATAGTTTAGAAGTTTACAATAATGAAGAAGTCAAGGACAAAAATCGAAATTTCGCAACCATTGGTCTTATTACAACCTATTGTATCTTTCACGAAACTTGTGTATTTTTTCTATATGTTACTTTTCAAACTGTTAAAAATAGAATATATTGAATTGCAAACTCTTTTAAACGCTAGATCAATTGAAAATTATCAGAATTAGAAACCACAAAGAAAAAAACAAAAAAAATACTAACTTTTCTTTCTTTCCAATTCCAGTTCCATTATAATTAGTATTGTTAATATAGAATTTTCCCGATTTTAAGATCCTAAAATTTTTAAAGTTAGCATAGATTTCACATACCATTTGTACAAACACATGTACTTACCGTTTTACAAACCCTCATGACATGGTAAATTTTTTATATGGGCACAACGTTTCAAACTTTTCTGAAATACGATGATCTAAAGTTACTCTGTTTCTATGTCAGATAGATGTATATTAACAGATGATTTGGAAAGCAAACAACAAAGATTTTCTTATGAATTTCTACATTAGTTATAATACTGATTCCAGACTCGAACCGAATCATATGACTTTAAATTTCGAAAATTTAAAAAGTTTTAGCATTTCACTTTTAAAAAGAACGTCAATTTTTGTATGGAACGTAATGTTTTTTGTTATGCAAATATTCAATTTATGAACTAAATTTCTCGCGTTTTAATCGTTTCTAATACGAAGAGCCTGAGCCGAATCAAATTTCATCTTTCACTGATATTTCATTTCATACTTCATTTATTCAGATTATACTGTTCAATATAAAAATTTTTTTACTCTTACAGTTACAATAAATACCACATTATAATTGAAGAAATCTAAAATTATTGAAATATGTAATTAAAAATTTAGAATTCTAAACTGATTTCCATGTATTACATTAAAATTACCACTTCTTCAGTGAAAAATATACTAAAATAATTAACAAATAGCAAGCTCGAATTAAAATCAAAATTTCCTATTTATTAATTATAAGCTTTAATTAATTTTATGACAATATTCTTAAAATTCATTAATAAATGCAGAGATGGTGAAAATTTCAATTGTCCTCAAGTCAATCTAGTAATTTTCCCAATTTTAAGATACGTATACTCAATTATTGTAAAAGAAATTACGAAACTATATAAAAAAAATACATATACAATTAATTGTGTTAAAATTACTCACGTATATGAACGTATTTGCAACAGTTTTCAATTATTTACTTTGGAGTATAACAAAAACATCTCAATATTTCCAAAATTACAAATTTAGTTCCATAAATTTCATAAATTACCAATAAATATAGTCATTTAAATTAAATAATTGCATAATTTTTCACAAATAAACTATTCTATTGTGACTTGAAATTCACAATTTATTACAAATAGTAACTAGTTACTACTTTTGCTTTTGAAATTTATACAACTTACTTATTGTTCAAATTGACTTATTTATCTAGATCTCTTTTTCGGTTTAACAATGCTTTTTATAGATCTTATCAGAGAAGATTTTCTACTTCTCAAAAATTTTGCAAACTCTTTATTTGCAAATTTATGGTACTTAATATACTAATTTGTGTACTAAAACCGAAATATAGGAGAATTTGTTATGTAATGAAAATTACAAAATAAATAAAATGCTATTACGTAGATCTTTAATTAATTTTCCATTTAAATGAGGGAAACAAATTCGTAATAACCTTTTAATAATATTTATTTTACATTAAATAGTTAAAATATTTTTTTAAAGATCATAGTAATTTGGATAACATTTAGATAAAATCTTTGTTATGTTTAAAATTATTACCGAAAATAAATTCAAATTCAAGATAATCTGAAAAATGAAAATTCCGAATCGAAAATTAAGTCATAATTATATTACTAAATGATGATTATCTAGGTATAATGAGGTTTACAAGTTAAAGAAGAGATCAGGTAGCATTTTGTTGCCCAATTGTAATTGTTGGTAATTTTAAAATTATTTTTTGCATTTTTAATAAAATTATGAAGGTGTTTATTTTATGGTTCTTTTGATTAAAGATTGTGATTTAGGTTAGATTATTTCCGATAGATTAAAAAAAAATTATGAGTAAAAGAAAAACTGGAAAAGAAAATTAACTATTTGATTTTGTATTAGATTTTTTGTCTTCAACTCCGGAAAGTATGCAATTTTTTTTGAAATTATAAAATTTTTTACTTCGAATTTTTAATTTTTAAATTTTTTTATAGGGCAATTAATCATAAAAAGAAATTATTAATTAAATATTTTTATTGTAATAATTAAGTATTTAATTTTAATTTACTCTACTAACTCATTGCAACTTATGACTAATTGCAACTTAAAGTAAAATGTTTTCTCATTTATTACATAATCTGAAAATTTAATAGTACCTTGCACATTTAAATACTCAATTCTCCGGCTAAATAATTTTTTAATAAAATTTTTATTCTTCAATATAATTATTATTAAAATTTTTTAAATTATTAATTTTTTAATTGAAAATTTTAAATTCTCTTCTGAATTCAATAAAATTTTAATAACAATTTACTACAATTTTAATATGAATTTTTTTTTCATATAAATTAAATTTATTTACAGCCCGGGTGTAATTGCAATTTGCAATCTCATCAATTTTTAGCCATTAAAAAAATTTAATTTTCATAAATTAGTTTTTGAAATTCTTCATTCCTAACATTTATTTTTTGTAACTCAATAATTTTTTTCTTTTGTTATTGCATTACTTAATACATAGACTTTAAATTTATTAAAAATTTTGCCCTTAAAAATTTTATAAATATAATTTTATTCGAAAAACATGTGTCGTACTCATGTCAAAGTTTAATTGTTCAATTTTTTTTATTGTTCTTTGTTAACGCAACAACCCAATTACTTTTTCTGTATTTATTTTGTTGATAGGCTATTTTAGACATACTTACTAAATTACATAATAACTATAATAACAGGCATAAAATAGCATACATTTTAAAATTTTGAAATTCAATAGATAATATAGGTAATCATAATTGTTACGATATTGCGTTACATTATTGCTAAACGTGTTAAATGGCACATACAATTGTACAAATTTAAGAAATGTATATATACATATGTGTTTTCGTACATATTTAATTTATTCATCAGCTCTATTACATAACATAATTATCTGTAAATTTGGGAAAAAATTTTTTTTTTTAAATTACAACATATAATTTGACGCCGCGGCCTTAATCTCATGTATATTTACATTATGTAATTTTATACTCTGTATTTTTTTTGTATAACAGTTAAAATAATCGATTATAACCGATTAAAAATTTAATATTCACCATATTTAACATTATTTTTAAAATATTTTCATGTTTCAATTAATTTCATGTATATTTTAACATGGTCAATCATTTCTCCCTGCATACAAATGCGATGATAAGTAGAGTTTTCATTTGATACGACAATTGACATTCTTAAAGTCATTTATCTATAACATTTAAGATATATTTTGTAATTAAATATTAAATATATAAAATATTATAGATAAAATTACAGAAAAACTACTGCAATTGATATTGTACAGTTTGTGCTGTAGAATATGGATTCCAGTTCCTTTAAGATTTTACAAATAGACACACAAAAATTTTCCATTTTAATTAGATTTTTCAAATTAGCAGTTAACTTTTTATAATATCTCGATTTTATGATAAATTCAATATTATTATTTATTTTTCAATTTATTCCCAAATTTATTTTAAAATCACAAAATCTTAAATGAACTTTTTATTAACATGAGCACAAAAATAATTTTATTTGTTTAAAATTTTTGGTTGTACTTACATGTAATCATGCATCTACAATGACTCATCTCAAACATTCTGTATATCAGTTTATCCAAACATTGTTGTCGTACTAGTCATTATTAACTGTTTACATAATTACTTTGTTGCTACATTATTTTTTATAGAAAAGAGACAATAAAACAAAGAGAAACTACATAAGAGACAAGAAGAGGCTTTGTTTAGGAATTTAAAGGCTATAAAGGTTACCAGATTCAATTTTAATTCAACCTTAAGACAAAAAATTTTTCACATTTTTTTTTTATTATTTTTCTATAGCTACCATTTAAAATGTTCTTTATTGGAATTTTTTCAGAAAAAAAAAAAAAAATTTCAATGAATTCTAAAAAAATTATAATGAAGAATTTTATAAAATTGAGTAAAAAATATTTAAGAAATGAACTTTCAATATTTTTACTACTTTTTTGTGTCCCGAACATTAATGATTTGATTTCATTAAAATACCAAATTCCTATATGTGGTATGTACCAATATTTAATATTGTTAGTTTGGTTTATTTTCTATTTAATACCAACATGGTAAAAATGTTCAAACAATACAAGAAAATCGTGATCTGAATGATCCTAGTTTTTTTTGTATGGTTTTTCTTTAACGAAGAAACCTCCAGTATTTTGTGTATCGTGAATTCATCTTTGCATCTTTTCACTTTTTTTTTTCTATAGATGATCCTCTAAAAAAAAAAAAAATAACACAGAATTTATATGTGATCCACCCATTTTTTTTTTTTAAATATTTGTTTTTTTATTATTTTATGAATTAACTTGAACTATTTTGGGCTTTTTATAATATTAGAAAGACATACACATGCACTAATGTATGAATTTTTTTTTTTCGATAAAGAGGAGCGCTTAAATACTTTGCGATTATTTTTAAAACTCATATACGTAATAAAATGTAAAGTCATTATGTAATATAGCGGTAATATTCTTCTCTATCATACCATGTAGAGAATATCTGTGGCTTTATAGTCAACTATATTATTGGTGATTTTATTTTTGTTAATTAAATTTACTTTTATTTTATTTCAATTTACTTTATTTTTAACATTGTTTCGTTTTGTGCACCATGCATTTATAGAAACCAATTAAAAAATCAATTGGTTTCACACAAGAAATTGTCAATGCAAAAATTAAATGCATATAGTGAGAAAAGAACGATAATTCTTCTTTATATTTTGAAAATTAAAGAACATTAATTCATTCAAATGATATTCAAGAGCATTTGAACAGAAAAAGAAAAACAAAAAATTACTAGTCTATTAAGTAAGCTTTCAAATGATTTATTTGATTAGATTATTTTAGATTCATAAGTTCCTACAAATGTGCACAATACAATTCTAAATTAAAATTACTATTAATTTTATGTAATTTATGTTCAAATATTTGAAAATTTTCAAAGCTATTATATAACAGTTTAAATCACCATTAACATTATATAACAGCTTAGATCAGAAAGAAAAAATTAAATATTCAATTAAATCTAAAATTATTTATTGAAAAAAATTGATATATTTTAATGGTTATTCCCATTTATTATAAATTAGAATTGTGTTTAAATCTTCGGTGTCGCATTTACAATGTTAATATACACTTAGACATTAATTCTCTGTTAATTTGTTCCCACTGGTTTTGTTTTTTCCAAGAAAATTAATGTTTTAATGGTGTTAATATTTAGATTTTTATTGTTTAAATCCAATTAGTTTTTCATTTGATTTTCAATTAATTGACAGTCGTAATAATTAACAATATGTTATAATCTTATAATTGGAATTAATTGATTCTAAAATAAATAATTAAAGTATAGTAAAATTTAATTTATATCCGGATTAGGTACATTGGTCTTTCAATATATTCAACGAATTCAATTCTTGCACAGTGAACATTTTTTTCACAAACTAACATTTTATTTAAATTTTTAAGCGATTTTCAGCGATTTTCTAAAGTTAGAACGTTATTATTATGTCTCTAATATTGTCCATGCATAATCCGCGGCTAGATAGCAGCAAATTACACATATGTCGTATATTTTTAATTATATAAGTATCATTAAGATTAAATTTCAATCAAAAGTTATACAAAAATTTTTAAGAAGTATAATATTAAAATAATATTATATAATGATATTTAACTGTTATATTATATTTTAACATCATACTGTTACTAGCAATGTTCGGTAAAACATAAATTTTTATAATTGTTATATACTTAATAAGAAAATGGATAACATTTTCAAATTTAAGCATTATTTTAGAAAGAAATTTAAAGTTTATTCTTATTTCATTTACGACAAATTTTACGACAAGTTTTACGACACATTTTACGACAAATTTATTTTTCTCTCATAACTATTAAAATTATTGAAAATTCAAATTTTTTATATGTTTTTCATAATTTTAGCTTAATCGCTTATTCAGTATTAGAATAATTTACAACTGATCCGTACTTCATATTGGAATAATTATTAAATTCGCAAAATCTAAAAATCGTCTCAAATATTTCATAGCACTTCTATAATATATACGTACTTTAATTATTTCCAATAATATTAAATTAACTAATAATGAATTACAAAATTTTTTTAAAAAAAAAACTAGACCTAAATTATTATACTCCCATTTTATTAATCTATCTTCCTGGATCACAGGCTACACGTACCTACAAATAAATGTAAACTTGTAATATATTTCTTAAAACACAATTTTTTTAAAAAATAGAAAACAAAAGTAACGAAACCAATTTCTCTTATTTTTTTATCAATACACAATACTTTTTTTCTCAAAATTCAGGTTAAAAGATCTTTATTAACTCATTTTTCTAATTTTTCTTAAATTCAGAATAACAAAATTATAGATTCACATGCAGACACAAACATTTTAAGATGAAAGAAAAAACTATATTGTACATAAAGATTAAGAAGAGTCAATAAACTTTTACTCTCATTTTCAATCAAGATTTTATTGTAGTTATATAACAATAATGAAATTAAGAGAGAGCAACAATAAAAAAAATTAAAAACGTTTGTGATTTATAAGCGTTGTGTCGTGATATCAATTTAAAGCAATTTATTTAGTGCATATATAAAAGGTTTATAAAATTATAACAAGAAAAAAATTTTTCTAAATAGGGCTTGTTAATTATATCAAAATCATTGTGTGTTTATGTAGAACGCCAATAAAAATTTAGTTCAAAAATTTTCTCATTATAAATAAATTTTTTAATTAATTTTTATTTGCATCTCTTTTTAATCTTAATTCTCTAACTCTAGATTTACAAATTTTTACTCATCTTATTTTCTGTAATGAAATTCAATATTATTCTGTAATGTTAATGTTAATAACAATATTAATATGATAATTATGCAGAAAAAGCACAATACAAAATTATTAAGAAGTCCAAATTTTTTTTTTTTCAATTCACGAACATGAAATATTTTAGTAGCAAGAGGGGTACGTAATAATTTTTTTTTTGCAATACTAATTTTGTATAGCAAACAAATATTAAGTTAGAATTAAATGCAAAGCAACAATGTAGTCAATGTAGTACAAGTAGTTTGAATTCGAAATCTCTTTCTCTCTCTTTTGTTATTAAGAATATTTAAGAAATTAATAATTTGCAGAGTTAATAAAATAAATAAGTACAGTTGTTTATTGACAAAAAAAAAAAATAATATGAGAAAATAAGAATAACGTGCAGAAAAACAAAATAATAATAAAAACATAAAAATAAAATTAAAGCATCTACATACCAATGCAAACATTCATAACACAATAAGAGTGTGTTTATTTTTCTAGCAACATTGAGAATTTATTAATAGCAAGAGTAGTAAAAAATAAAACCGCTACAACAACATGTTGTCAGTCATAATGTTTGAGAACATTGTAAAGTGAATAGCGTATTTTTATGCTCCAAGAGTTTATAATCAATTTTTTTTTTTAGTTTTCGTTTTGCTCTTCTCAATGTAGCAAGAGTTCAAAAGGTTAAATAAAGCGTTTTAATGCAAAACTCTTTAAAAAAAAACAAAAATTTTTATCGTGCTTCTTAATAAATATAAAGCGCGTGTTCTTTATAAATATTATGTTTTTTTTTTTTTCTTGGAATTTATAATTGTAAGGAGAATTTTTTTGTTATTTATTATTATTGGTATATAAAAGGCAATCATTCTCATCTTACTTCTCTAGGCTATATTGTGTTTATTTTTATAAAATATTTGATTTTTTTTTTTATAATAATGCTTTTAAGCATTTTTGTTACCGTAATGTTGTCTTTACAGGAAAATTTAAGAAAACTACCAACCAAACACAGTAAGAAATAATAATAATAATTGTGCTTGAGCCCAACCCTCTAATCGCACTTAAAGTTGTAAAAATTTATGATTATTCTGTTTCTTAAAAAAAAAAACAAAAAAACAAAAATTGTCATTACTTTATTAGATTACTTATCTCACACTATGTCAAATTAACATTTTAAAGTCAAAATATTGTTGATTTGTTTAAAAGGCTTCTCATTTAATTTTTATTATCTCTGAGATGGTAATAACTATTAAAAAGGTATTTATAGGTACTATATCGCATTGTCATTCCCAGTTAATTCAGTGTTAAAGAAATACATAATAATTTATTTAATATGGAAACGTATAAATTATCAATATCATTATCAGTGATTTTGATATTTTTTTGAAAATCAAGATTTTAAGAATGAAAATTTGCTCAAATTTATATACATACTCGTACATACCGTTATAAACCATGTATATATGAGTGATAATAAAATGTAAAAATTTATAAAAATATTTTGTACGAAAATTTAAAAATCGTGATTAAAATTTTTTTATTTTGCACATGCATAAATCTAGAATTGGAAGATTCTTGTTATGCTAACTGTTATATTTGTTATACTACAAACATGTATACATATAAATTATATTTAAATAATATTATTAATATTATTATCTGTTTTTTCTTTGTTTCTCTATTTATAGCTTATTGTAACCATTTTATTGACTGCAAACTGTTGGGCTGCCAAATTAGATAATAAATATTTACCACCAGCTAATGCAGGTATGTATGTATATTAATTTAAATTGGAAAGTTTAATCCAATATAAATATTTACCTATAATAATATGATGCATAAAAGTTCAAGTTGAATTTTTCACCTTACTATGGTATATACGACAATAAAATATTAATATAGAATTAGAAATAAAGAATATGATTTACCATATTGTCATAAGAGATTAGAAGAGATTAGGGAAAACTATTAAAAACAATGGTTTAAGAAGCTCGTAAAAATTTAAATTAAGTTAATTATTATTGCCATAATATTAATCATAAATTTTGTATTTGAATTTTAAATAATTTCGATAAATTGGACACAAGTGAATTTGGATGGAAGGCAATTAATTTTTAATTGTTTTCTTTAATTTTAAATTATAAAATTCAGCTTTATTGCTTGACATTATAAGCCTAAATTCATGAATTAACCAATAATAAATTGATGGTGGTGTTCGTATTAATAAATATTTAAGATAAGAAATGATATTGAGAAAAATCCGAAGGATATATACTTATAAAATTTTCATAATTTTCAATATAACAATGTTATCAATACCCTTGCCTGATAGTCACTAAATGCGCTCACAATATTTTATTTATTTAGTTTACCAGTTATGAACTAAATAATTTTAAAACATACAATGTTCCTCAGTTGGATGAGGTTTCTGTGTTTGATAAGATGCAAGAGCACTGCCTTACAATAGATAAAATTTTACTTGATTACTCCAAAAATTAACTCCCTTAATTATTGCAGTTGTAAAAATTGGCACTTTCAAAAATTATAATTTTTGCAACTTCTACTTATCTTATCCAATTTAAAAGTTTCCAAATACTAGTATAGTTCAAACAATACCTTTTACATAAAAGATAAATATTAAAATTATACAAAATTAAAAATATTCATGCTCGTTTACAATTGCTCTAAAACATGACATTTTTGTTTGCGTGTTACAAAGTAATTACATGAAAGTTGCTATTGAATTTTTTTCTTAAATCGCACTTGCATTATTATGTTAATGCTTTAAAATATTTTTAACAGAAACCTTTTTAAGTCAAATTTCTTCACACCTCATAAATAAGTGCAGAATAATTATTTAGTTGTGTAAAATGGAAAACTAAATCAAAAAAAAAAAGAACGTGAGAAATACTTTTAGGAACATGTTTTTAGAAACATTTTTTAATTGTTGCGAGGATATTCTTTTCGAAAGGCCACTATTTGTACATAGTTGTAATATACAAGTGAAGTTTTTCACATTCATTAATATTCATTACTGATATGGCAATGTTATTTGCATCATACAAGTTTTAATTAGATTTGAACTAGTAAAATATATTTCTTAATTTTCTTTAAAAATAGGTGGAGCTGCTGGAGGTCCTGGGTTAGCTGCTCCTGGTGGTGGTGGTGGTTTCGGAGGTGGCCGTGGCCCTGGTGGAAGACCAGGTGGTGGAGGAGGCGGCGGTGGTGGTGGCGGATTTGGTGGTGGAGGCGGCAATGGTGGATTAGGTGGTGGTGGAAGACCAGGTGGTGGTGGAAGACCAGGTGGTGGTGGTGCTGGTGGTGGTGGTGGATATGGCGGTGGTGGTGGTGGCGGCGGAAATGCCGGTTTAGGTGGAATCGGAAGACCCGGGCCAGTTCCCGGTCCAGGAAGTGGTTTTAGTGGTGGTGGCAGACCAGCAGCACAACCACAACAACCGTCTGGTCCCGTTATAGAAATTTTGTCATTTGAAAATGAGCCACCATTAGATGGTAGCTATAGATTTAGTTATGAAACTGCAAATGGTATTAAAGCACAAGAAGAAGGTGAATTAAAAAATAAAGGATCAGATAATGAAATACAATCGGTGGCAGGATCATTTTCATATACAGCTCCGGATGGTCAAGTAATCAATATTCAATATACAGCAGATGAAAATGGTTTTGTACCTCAAGGAGATCATATTCCAACACCTCCACCAATTCCAGAAGCCATAAGAAAAGCATTACAAGCACAAGGCATTGATCCCGACAATTATGCCACAGCTGGTGGTGCTGGAGGCGGCGGCGGTGGTGGTGGTGGATATGGAGGTGGTGGCGGAGCTGGAGGATATGGAGGTGGTGGTGGAGCTGGCGGAAGACCAGGAAGCGGCGGGGGTTATGGTGGTGGTGGACCTGGTGGACCAGGAGGACCAGGTGGGCCAGGCGCACCAGGTGGACCAGGTGGACCTCGAGGACCCGGGGGACCAGGAGGACCAGGTGGACCTCGAGGACCTGGAGGACCAGGTGGGCCAGGCGGTCGAGGACCTGGAGGCCCTGGCGGCCCAGGCGGTCCAGGAGGTAGACCTGGAGCTGGTGGAAGACCCGGTGGTGGTGGCGGTGCAGGTGGCGGAGGAGGATTTGGCGGCGGTAGACCAGGTAGCGGAACTTTCGATCCACAATCAGGATATAATTATTAAAAAAAATTAATTTTGGCTTTAAAATTCTCCGCCACCTTTTAGAAACTATTCTAAATTAATAAAATATGAAAAGGGTAAATAAAAATTTCGAGGCAAAACTGTAAAATATTTAAAAATTTTAAATTAATTTTTTATATTTAAAAAAAACAGATGAAATTTATTTCTCATATTAATTTGTGATCGAATTTAATTTTTCCAGTATTTTTTTATAATTTTTTTATTTTGGAATAATTTATTCTATTTTAATTAGACTTATAATTCAATTATATTATTTATAGGTATACATTACATTAAATGGCGATATACTCTAAAAATCTCAAAATAACTTTTATAAATTATTGTAAAATTCTATCTCTAAATATAAAATATTTGTAATATATTATTAAATTTTTGTATAATAATTTATTTTAGAAATTATAAATAAATTTTATTATAAAACAATTTTTGCTTTTCAAGTTACCAATAGAACATTTTGCTCTTCAACTTTATATTAAAATTGGTATACACCACATCAATTCTTTCCTGGTTAAAAAACACTTATAAATTATTTTTTACTCCCAATGAAAATTTCGATTCCTAAAAGTATTATATGGCAACAATTTTGTTAAAGTCATGCTTATAACTGCCTTCATTGCACATTAAAATGTTTATATTTTAAACTTTATTACTTAATATTTAATTACAAGCTATAACAAGTTGTTAAGCATTCAACATTTTTTAATTTCGATAATCAATTACACGTCCCAATAACAGCTATAACAGTATTAATTGATTTTTTTATCATTAAATCTATGAAATTGCAAGTAACTTGTAGAAGCATCTTACCTGAAAAATTATATTTTAAATCAATAAACAAATGTTTCTTATCACTTAGACAACATCTTTAAACGTCTGTAACATTATTTGCAATAAATAATTTTTCAATCACTATGCGTATAACAGCTATTATACAACAATAAGAATATAATAGAAAATTTTGTGTTTATTAAGAAGACAACTCAATTAACAGAAGTAAAGTTGAAAAAAAAAAATTATTTTGCTAACAACATACGAGTACCATCGTCTGGCATGAAACATAGCATAACTCGCTATTTCTAAAATTTTCAGGAGACACCATGAAAACTACTTAATTTTATAATGTGTGTGAATGGAGATTTCCAAAATTATCATTTTTTTACGGTGTTAACAATAGTGATTACAATAACTTTGGTGCAAAAAGGTTGCTGTTGCTGCGCAATTTAGGATTCAGTAAAAAACTAGGCTTTGAAAAATATGCAAATAGTACGGTATAGTATGTGATCCGATGATAGTGTAAGTAAATTGCAAAACATTGACTTTTCTGCATTTAAATGTTGTTATAGTAATTGTGCATTCTAAATTGGTCTTCGCATAAAACAATCAAATCCTTTTCTAGTGTAGGTAAGTAAATTTTAAAATAAATTTAATTAATACAAAACACAAATATTTTCAGAGATGTAATGAATATTTTTGACCCGAAATATTCCATATAAATCAAAATGTGATCTTATCGTTTTTAATTATTAATTCAATTGAATAAAATATTTTTAAAATTTTCAAAACCGAAAATAAATTTTGCTAATTCATTCATTCTTTCCTTTAAAAATTTTAATGTAGATATACATAGAAGATAAAATTTTAATTAAATTAGAAAATTTTAAAAACACTAAGATTTTATAATGCAATGAAAATTATATAAGCAAAAAATAATAGAAAAAATGGCAAAAATAACTAAAACTTGATTATACTATACGAAACCCCCATCCCCCACTCCCCCACTCCCCTAAATCTCTCACTCTCCCTCTCTCTTTCACTGTGTGCAAATACAATACAAAACATCCAAGGAGCAGCTCATATACATACGTACAGTGAATTTATTACGTAATTTTGTTAAAATTTAAATTTTCACATGAATATTTATCATTAAAATATCTAAATTTGGTTATAAATTTCAAAAAATATCATAATTCATTTATGAGACCACCTGACAATTAAATATATTTAAATTAATACATAACAAGTAAATTTAATATAAAACAATAAATTTTTCTAACATCTTCACTAATTGCAGTCATAGCAACAAATTTTACTAACATCAATGTAAATCAAATAATCAATATGATTGCATGAACATTGTAATGTAATTTTAAATGTCATAAATAATAAATGGCGTTATCTTATATAAAAAAAAGTAAAACATAATGTAAATTTTATTTGAATTTGAATACGAGTAAGTATAAACATTGCTGTATAGTTTGATCAAATTCTATACAGGTATAATAACAATGATTGTAATTTTAGAATGCTCTCACTAATAGTATTATGAACTAATAACACTGCTGCGACAGCAACAGCTGTTGTACGAAGGGTAAAAATTCAGTTCAATGCAAAATATTGAAATTAAATTTACTGTCATTGCCATACTATAAAAATATAAACAGAATTTGGGCAACAAAATTTCTGCGATTTCTCTCACGACTCTCACTCTCGCTATGTAAACAGCGCATATCTTCTTCTACACATGATTGTTGCTAGTTTGAAGTTTTTAAAAACAATGGGATACTATTAACACGCAAATTATAGTATTTTAATAATAATTATTACTGTTCCTTAAATTTTTGAAAAATTAATACCTTTTTTGCAAATCGACAATATGACTGAGGTCTTTGCTTTACATTTTTCATAAATGGATTCTTATAACAAAAAATTTAATTTTTTCTGTACTATATTGAATGCAATTAGGACAACATGATTTTGATTTTATTGAAATTCTCAAAAAAAAAAAAATGACAAGCAAAATCAAAGAGCGCACGGATAAAAATCATTTATAACATGTTTTTAGACTTAAATTATACACAAAAAAAATATTGATTTGGAAATTTGAAGAAAATTGTCAAGAAAAAATTGAAATCGAAAATGATTTTAAAAAAGGAGTGGCCCTTTTAAAAAGAGCGATTTATAAAATTTTTTTGCACGAAATTATTTTTAAAATTTTTGTTATTCTTCTAATTGTTTTTCTACTAAGTTTAAACTATTTAAGAATGTTTGCTAAATTTATAGGGAAAAATATTGGAACAAAGAAAGAAAATGTTTGATTTTTCTGAAAGGAAAAATCTACAATGTTCAATTCTGCATTTTGAAGCTCAGTTTAAGGCTTCAACAATATAACAGTAGCGAGTTATAACAGAGAATTTCACGAGTTATAACAGAGGATTACTTAGACACTCTAAACTTAAGAACATGAAAATTATAAGTAACAATTTTTCAAGAATATTGTGTCAATGTTTTTGACTATTCTCCGTTTTGAGCCTATTCTAAGGGGAGCGAAATAGGAAACTGAATAAAAATTTGGAAATGATTGCAAAATGTGTAATAGTAACAGTAATAATTGCTTATGAAAACAGTAACAGCAACATTTACTATTAGTAATAATTCCTAATTTAAATATTAAGTAAATAATAACGGTTAAATAAACTGTTTGTACGAATACTATGAACAAAATTTACTTGGTAGTATTAAAAAAAAATATACTACTCCGAAAAATATGCAATTATTTTTACTGAAGTTAATAGCTACCAATCTTTTCATCCTAAATTTATTAAAAAACTTTTCTAAGGAAAACTAGTTAAACGGCTAATTGATTAAAATATTTCGGAGGTACATCCTAAATATATGCAAAATTTTCGTACTTTAATATTTTAAATAAAACCGTATTCGGAATAAAATTTGAAAACTAAGAATTTTCACAATATGTTAAAAATTAAATAATTAAATATAAATGGATGTGAACATATAACACTTTAGAGACCACCAAAATAATTAAACTGAGAGCATTAAAAAAAAAATTTATTAAAAATAAACGATTTAAAATATTTTTCATAAAAATTCTAAATTTAAATTAAAAATTATAATAAATGGTTCAACGCTACAACTACGTATAAAATTTAATATATTTACGCATAATGGTTGTTAATGTCATTATTAATGTTAATGTTTCCGTTCAATTTATTATACTATTAAAAAAATTAATGAAATTTTATTCAACCCTTATGACTTTAGTTGAAAAACGCTTTACTGTATTATTAATATTATTTTTCACCAATTCCTTTTTATAACGTCGGAATTTATCGTAACCAAATTGATTAATAATTTCATTTGATCTTCCTTGAAGTTGTTGAGTTGGTAATAATTGTTGCTGTTGCTGTTGTTGTTGTTGCTGATGTTGTTGCTGTTGAAAATGTTGTTGTTGTTGAGTTTGTTGTAAATGTTGCTGTTGTTGTAATAAAGCTGGATTATTTTGGAATGTGTTACCCAAAAATTGTCTTTGTTGTGGTTGTTGATATTGTAGCTGAGGTTGATATTGTCCTGCCTGTTGTAGTAAACGACTTTGTTGTTGTTGTAACTGAATTGGTGTTAAATTTCCAACATTACGTTGTTGTTGTTGAAATTGTTGTGGTACTATTGGTGTTTGAAGTGGATTTATATTTGGTGCTATTAAATTTTGATTTAAATTTGATTGTAAATTTGGACTTAATGGATTAATATTTGCATTATATGGTTGATTTCCGAAACGTATTGATTTTGCTATTTCAGGTGGAATTGGTGGTGGTGTTGGAATATGTGCACCTTCAGCACGAAAACCTATCAAAAAATTTATTCCAATATATTATTAAATTTTTGATGTAAAATTATTAAAAATATTATGAAAATTTGTCACCATTTTCATCGGCAATATAAACAACACGAATTGGTGTGCCATCTGGTGCTGTATACGAATAAGATCCTTGAACTACTTGGGTTTCTAAATCTTTAACACCTAAATTTTTTATATATCCTTGAGCTTGAGCTGTAGTACCATCACCAGCTGAATAACCATAAACAAAACTGCCATCGTAATTTAATTCATTCTGATAACCGGTGATTGGAACAAAATTTTGTGGATTTATTTGTGAGTATCCTAATCGACTGTTATATGGAGTCTGTAAAAATAAGGTAAATATATTTAGATTAAAAATATTAAATTATATAACATAATTTTCACTAACCTGTTGAAGTAATGGCGAATATGGCTGTTGACGATTATAAATATTTTGTTGATTGAAAGGAAATTGCTGTTGATTTCCAAAAACTTGTCTTTGTGGCTGTTGCTGTGTTTGCAATGTATTAAAACTTGTTTGTAATCCACTCCGAAACTGATTTTGATTAAACAATGTATTTTGTTGTTGTGCTTGAATTTTACAACCGTTTAATAATATTGTTAAACAGATCCAAAGCTTTAATTAACGAAACTCAAAATATTATTCCGTAATATTTTTTAATATTGTTGGTCTTACCCAAAATTTTGTTTTATCCATTTAGAAATTTATTTCATGAAACAAACAACGTACTTAATTTTAAAATTAAATTTTTAAATAAAAAGAGCACATAAATAAAATATTTTTATTTTTAAATTTTACGATAAAAATAGAAATAACATTAATAGTAAATCCTTGATTTTATGATTTTGAATTTTTTTTCGAAAACTGTTACAATAGAATATTGAAAATTTTCTCAACACTTATTCCGAATAAGGACTATAATGATTTTAAGAATATTTCAAAAACGAATCTAATGCAACTGAATGAATAGAACTGAATTCTAATTACTAAAAATCTAAGTATTTATACAGAAATCATCTCAAGTACTATAAAAATTAATCCACAAATTGGCATTGTTTAAAAATATAGTTAAAAATGATAAAAAGATGAAAACAAATAAAACTGGATGCAATAAAAAAATCTAAGTTAAACTTCTTTCATAAACAAATATAGAAAATATGTGAAAAAGTTAATGGAGAACAGAATTTCCTGTGTAAACTTTACATTATTGACCTGAACACATCATGCGCACAAAAAAACAAACATTGAAAACCTAACAAAATTATACCAAAAAAACAAAAAAAAAAATTAAAATTGCATTCTGTAGGAAAAACTTACAATATACAACTGGAACGCTACAAGAATTGTAGATCTTCGAAAAATTCAATAACTAACAATTTGACAATTTCTTCTTTATAATAGAAATATCTCTTTTAGCATTTACTTCTTGGGACTCCCTGAAATTTAGTTGTGAAGTGTGTATTTTTACGTGCAGGAACCATCCATCGTGATCCACAAAATTTCTTTATTGTGCTTCCTAAGCCATTTATATTGTATCTCAACTGAGAGCGTTCCGTCAACACCCACTTTCTTAATAGAGTCGAATGTTTTAATTATTAGCAGCTCTTTTGCTGTAAAATTCAGTTTGATTGTACATTTTTTCCAACAAGTATTACTAAAAAAATAAGGGTTGTGCAGGAACCAGGTGAGAATTCTCACCGGTGCCTTGACGGGGTATTGCTGGCTTAAGAGCCACTCTAAGAGCATGAGCCTATATAGTCAAGGTACGTGCAGATTCTGCGAGGTGGATAAGGAAACCTCAGTGCACCATCCTCTTCCAGGCGGGGCCCTCAACCCTAGGAGAAGGAAAATGTTTTGGAACTGCGCACTCACTCCGAGTGAATTGCTGAACCTTCCAACTTAACAGAATTAATCGTGATGGTGGTTTTCGAAGGGCTGTTGTAGGGGCGTATGCCATAGCTATAGTGGAGCCATAATAGAACAATTGTGTTAAATCTACAAGTATCACTAATAAAGTCTTACAACTGAAATTCTGCTACCAAAATACATTTTCAATTACAGACAGACGAACGTGTCATAAATAATTAGCTGTAAAAAATATTTCTTTTGCTATGCGTTAAGAAAAAATTATAACCAAAATAAAAAGTTTTCCATGAAAAATTTACGTGTTTTTGCAATGACACAGACACACAGTAACAAATTTTTCTCATTTAATTTAAATGTTCTTTATGGGTTTGCAATTTTTGTTTTGTTTTTTTTTCTTAACAAATTGGAATTACTCGTCTTTAGAGAATAATAATGAGAGAAACAAAAAAAAAAGCATTCTTGAATGGCCTTTTTTCCATAAGGAGTTTTTTTTAATTTTAGAATTTCAGTAAAAAAAAAACAGCTTTGCCATTTTATAATTATCTAACATGAAATTATAAAGTTCGTCTGTCAAAAATAAAGTTGTGGAATTCACGTTTCACTGGAATTCACATATCAAAACTATTAAGAGTCATCGAGAATACCGTAGCAACACTTTAAAAAACCTCTAACTATTATATTAGTATTACAGTTTTTATAGTTTGAGTATAACAGTTCGAAAAATAATTGATATTTATTTATTTTTATCGTTTCTTCGAAGCTGTTGGGGATGGATCGAAATTAGGTTTGCGCTACTACTGATTTCTGCATATCGTCTGCATAAAATGACAGGATAAAGAGCCCGGATAGAGAGGAGACAGTTGTACAAATGCTGAGGGGCTATTCTTCTCTGGGCTTCAGGAGGCTCGAATGTTTGATCGGAGCCTTCTCAGTGTTGGACAGCTCGCGTTCTAATCCAATTTTCTGTGGGATATCTTCGGGTATTTAATTGAGACCGGGGTAGTACAAGTGGGGACACAACAATAAGTTATGCCTGGTTGTGGTGGTTGTAGGGGAGGTGTTACTTTGCTTATATCTCTCTTCCGTGATTTACAATCCACAATTATATTTGTAGGCTAGATTATGATTTTAGTCATACATCGTTCATAGCAATCAATTACTTTGAAAAATTTACAATCGAAAGCCCTATCATTTCCACTCTTTGCAATTTGGCAATTACTTCAACGGACACATCAAATACTTCTTTTCGAAATGCAATTTTTATATTATAATTGAATATTAAGGAAAATAACTATAATGAAAATATACGGAAAACATTCATTAGAAATAAAAAAAAAAATGTTTAAGACACAATGAACTTCAAAGTATCAAAAGCTTAAAAAAAAAACAAAAAATAAAAATATTGTTATATTCGATTTTATCGGAATTATAATCGACATCTTTAACTGAATGAATATAAAAATGAAAATCTAATAACCCTGATAATAGAATTAATTTTTTTTTTAACAATCTTCATTTATTCCAAATCTAGCATAAAGTACACACATAATCTTCTCTGATGTGTTCAAATGATGAAGATTGAAGAAGTTAAGAAAAATAAGATGGAAAAATATTTTCTTTTAATTAGGCGGCTTTTCAATTTGATTAATTTTTGACGTCATTTAATGAACGTGATTTTTCTTTTATTTGAATTGAATTAAAAGAAGTTTACATTTCAAATTGTTAAAAATTCAAAATGAATATTCATTTATATAAAGTTTATGATTTTGTAATACTTTTTTGATCTTCTAAGTGCATATATAAAAGTGTAGATGGATGTGGGTAGTATTTATAGTATTTTTAAAAATTACATAAACACATATATTTAGTTACTGTAGTATGAATGACATATGATTATGATAATATTAATGTATATATATCTATCTGAATTTTAGAAAATTCAAATTGAGTTATGAACCTGATGATGACCGCTATAAAATGAATCAAAATTGATTCGTAAATTTCGTTATTTAAAATGCAATAAGTTTCCGGTAGGTTTTGCTGTTGCCTAATCGATTTAATTGTATCTTAACACATTTCTGAATTATTATCAACTGCTGAAATCTATTTTTAATTCAAAAGTTATTCAAAACTTATTCCAGTCAGCACATTTTACGCATAGTTTGACAACTTTCAAAATAAAAGCTGAATTATTTGACATTTTCAAAATATCAGTCTGTAGTTGCATTTACTAATCTTCTATATTTATTCTTTTACAAATACTCTAATATATCCATTGATAAAGCAATAAAGGCTGAACTCCGAAAAAATACACTAAAAACTATAAACGGAATGAATAGTCAAAACGCAAGGCAGTTGAAAATGAATGAAGAAGGAGGAACGCAATAATGATTTCTTGAGTAAAACTTCTTGAACTAATATTTGAATTTAGAAGAATGTGGTCAATAGAAAGACAATTAATTTTGTATTGAAAAAGAGTTAATTTTGTATTGTATAACAACCGAATCTGTGATATCGAAGTTTAAATGACTTGGAGTAGAATTAAAAATAATAAACAAAGAAATCACCTACAATGACAAGACTGACACATATAAAGAATTTAGTAAATGACAGATAGGGATTAGGTGGAAATCATATTCTCCTGAACGAAATCACTTTAAAAGCGGAAATTCAGCCACTTTCAATTGAAGAAAATTTTCTATTTCTCACTTAAACTCTTACCTACTTACAAAAGCCAAAATCAAAATAAATTATACAAACGAAAACCTACAATTTTTGACATTTCGTCGACCTTGAATAATTTGCAATTTAAAATGAATTTTTTTTGTTCCATTTCCCTCTTTACCTAAAATAAACGAATCGAAATTGAAATCGAAAGTAAATTAAATAATATTTTTTATGCCTCAAGTTATTTCTCAGATTTCAATTCACCCGAAAAATATAAAAATAAGAAATAATAAAAATAAGCGATTTACGGTACTTAACCGTTTCGTTTAGCATTCAAACACAAAGAAAACACACAAAATCATGATCCCCTTAACAATATTCATTTCATTTTTTTTTTCCATTTCATTTTCATTTCGTTTTCTTTCATCTTCCCATTTCTTCAAAATGCACGAAAAACATTTTATAATCGATGACATAACTTTCTTTGGCCGAAATTTTTAATGTTATATTTCTTGTTTTTTTTTTTTCAATTATATTTTTTACAATCGAACAGAAAAAAAAGAGAAAAAGAGATAGAAAATCATTGGGAAAACATTAATTTTTATGAAAAATTATTGAAACTGCAAAGAAAATTTATTAGTACCTATAAGTCATAAGAACATGAAGTTGTCAAAATTTAGATTTAAATTACTTGACAGCAATAAAAATTAGCTATGTAGTCTCTTTTACTATATATTGAAAATATGCACCCATTTTCTTGTATAATTTATTCGAGATAATTTTCTTTTCAATATAATATGAATTTATTATTCTGTAGAAAGAACATAAGTGTGACGTTCTGACAACTATAGGATTGTAGATTGCAAAGAATGGGTAACAATGGACCGCAACCAGTAAATATATAGATCTATTGTGTCTCCGAACTAGATGTGGGACGAAGCCCTGCAATACCCTTTCGAGACTCACCCTCATCCGCAGCTGCGCCGATGTGAGCGAGTACCTATCCGCCGGTGGAGTTCCTAAGTAGCTATCTTCTCATGTGTGCAAGGGCCTCGTATTGTGCTAGAAGGTGTGCCGAAGATTCCTCGTCCTGCCCGCAAATCTTCACTTTCTAGGCCCAGCATCCTAAGGTGACCCTTAAGTCTACAATTCCCCGTCAAAAT